GGCTTAGCAACAGTGTGTTCTATGAAGACTGAACTGTGGTGAATGTAATTTGTGTTATAAACAGAACACAGTAATTGTTTCTGTCAATGACAGTTCAGTATAACTCTCTCCTGTATTAACTTGTGAATGTGGCTTAGCAACAGTGTGTTCTATGAAGACTGAACTGTGGTGAATGTAATTTGTGTTATAAACAGAACACAGTAATTGTAATATGATTAATTTCATCTAATAACTTAAGCAACTCATTATAGTCAATGGTTGTTTGAGGTTAGCAAGTTTGTTTGCTATAGGACTAACACTGTATTACCTACAATCTGGTTATTTTTTTCCTTTAATGTTGCCCTTGCACACCCATGCTTGAAAAAAATAAAAGTTTAAACCCACTCTTTATTTTTCAAGATATCTTGAATTCTCTCACTTAAACTTCTGTAAATTACCAGCGTCTACTATTGCTAAAGGTAACTAATTCCCTAAGTCACTCATCGTGTTAGGAGAATAAAACTGACTTAACCTTTCTTTTCTAAATTTTCCTTATGACTCTCATCCTATTATTTTCAGAATATTACGTAAACAAAAGAGAGGTCTATCCATTCACCTTGTAAACTTTTGTAAGACCATCTCGTACCCTATTTTTATCAAGAGAAAAGAAGCATTAGAAGATCTTAGCCTTTACATATAAACGTTCCATCATCCTTTAGACCCTTTCCAGTAAGTTGATATCCGATAAGGAAACCATGACTGTACGTAGTGTTCCAAGTGAAGCCTAATTAGTGATTAGAGAGCTCCTTTGACTTATCTGTAACTACACTAAAAATCTGTTAGTTTCACTAATAACAAGAAAGCACTACCTTGATGGCTCAAGTGACTTATTCATGATCCTTTCTGCAGTCATGCTACTGAGTAGGTTCTTATCTATACTAAATGTGTGATCCAAATTATAACACTAACTTGTACTGAATATAAGTAAAAGTCATTTGGCAGATATTTGTCCAAATCACATTAAAGGCCTCAACTCAGCTTTCCTGTAGTTCTGCACATCTTTCATTTATATTAAGCTTTTTTTAGACTTGTCTCTGTTCTCAACAGTGAAAACTAATACTGGTTTTCTCAAAATCAGAATACATGTTCAATTATGAGTTAATTATATGTGAGTGATGAATCTTGTATTTCTGTGTCAACACAGTGTTATGTATATCAACCTTAAAGGTTTTACTTCGATATACTGATAGTTTCTCTTTAGCTTTGTGCTATATCCTGATATTTTCTATACCAGTTTCTTACGCTAAAACTCATTTTTCAACAAAGGTCCGAAGTTGAAAGTATTTACTGACCTAGGTTCTGTAACTAAGTGTCTCACCTGTTTGGCAAGCCTGATAAGCCCTAGTGTTGGTCAAAAAGGCTGGATATAGCAGATATAGTGTGGTTGACATGTTATACATTCTTCTGCACTTTCACTGTTACATTTCTAGAACTATTAAACAACATATTAAAAAACAAAACATATAACTTGGTATAATTATTTTAAAATTGGTTTTAATTAGTGATGATTATAATTTGTGGCTTTAAAGTTGTTGGATATAATAGGTTTCAACCAGTGAACTGGTTTGAGAGGAAGGGTAATATTTACAATGAAATTGTGACTAACTTAATATTTAATGTATTGTATGTGAAGTTAAATAAATTAACTATAGCCAAATAAGAACTATGATTTCAATTTCTTTCTACTTGCTTTGTCGTAATGATAAGAAATGTGACGATCTCCATTAATGTAATACTTTCTACTCCACTGTTATGTTGTTTTCATTGCAAAAAGTATCTGCTAAGCTGGGTTATTGTTCATTTTTGACCTTTAAATGTTTTAATTAATAATAACAAATATATAGAGTTTTCATTAGATGAGGCCAGGTGTGACCTGGTGGCTAATTTACTGGGCTGCTGATTGGAAGGTTCAAGTAGTATGGAGATCAACACTCTCCACATTTTCAGCTGTTCACCCTCACCCTAGTTATTTGTTGTAAATTAGAGATCTGAACGTTGGGGGTCTCTTATTTGGATGTTTATTGTATCTTGCCCAAGGTTCTATTTGGGTTAAAAATATGAAATAATTAAAGCCATAGTAGATGACAGTTGGAGCTTTTTAAAAACGTGGGGAGCCTCAAATACATGAGGAAAAGTGTATAAAGGTTTTTTTTGTTAGTATTGACACTAAATCTGGTGTGCTTTTGTATGGTTAGCTGGTAGCACGTATTTTATGGAGCTATGAATATATTTTTATAATCATATTCTTATTTCTTTGTATCTAAGCACAAAGCTGTACAATGGGCTATTTGTGCTGTGTCCACCACGAGTATCGAAATACGGTTTCTAGCGTTATAATACTGACACTATACATAGTGTGCTTGTGTATCGTTAGATGGCAGCACCATAACATTTTAATTTATGTAACTTTAAATATCCAAGAGTGTTTAAAAAATTATGGATTTTTAAATAAAGTAGAGATCTTGCTATAGAAAGTACTGAAACAAGAATTAAAACCATAGTCACAAATTTATAAAATTTAATCCTTTGACCTGCAAATAAGTGAATAAGGGTGTCAAAGTGTGGAATAAATTTGTAATTGTGTTTTTAATTCTTGTTTCAGTACTTAATATTTTAGTATTTAATATACTTAATATTTTAAAATTGATAATTTTTGAATACTCTTGTTTGTTTACTTTTTATTTTATACCCATATAAACTGTGTACTTCACTATTAAAAACTGTCACGTGTATATTAAACAATATGTAGCGCCATCTATTGGGTTGAAAAGATATTTAAGTATGTGCACATGTTTACTATATATATATATGCATTTTTACGGAAGGGCAAAAGTAGAAGATCATCAATGAACCAAGTACTGTAAGAGAATATTTGGTCAAATGGCTTAGTTGTTTTTTGCTCTAGGCTCTCTGATGGGATCAGCCAGTCAAGCAAGATAATCATTTTTAAAAACTTGTAGCAGAGCTACAGTCAATCAAAGTACAGTGTTGTTTTTATTGTGTTTATATATCCCAGTAGGCTTTTGGTGGAAAAGGTTTGTATGAGGCACTTTGTTATTTTATTCCTTGTCAGTCCCTATTATTAAACACTTGAGGATGTATGTAATTATTAATTATATTCCAGATCAGTAATAAGAATAAATCATTTTCTGTCAACATTTGCTTTGTAAACTAAATTTTGAGAATGTTTAGCAGCATATGTTATTTATGTATTCTATCTAATTAGCTCAAGAAGATATGAAGATGAAGAAGAAGAAGAAGAAACTGTTACCAGTTATCTTCTTGACGAACAAAACATAACAGGTAAAGTAATTCGCATATCGCGATTTCCTCTTTTGAGTTTGTTTTAGCAATAGGCAAGTACTAATCCCCAATCACCACATCCAACAGTTACTATTTTAAAAATTTCAAGTTTTTAATTTAAATTAGTTTTGTCATCTATCTTCATTCAACAGTCTTCTGTAATTGTGTGGTTTTAAAATGTTGAAAAGTTAGGTATGACTTGTATACAAAGTAAAATGGGAAGTTTCTTTGTATTTTATAGAACTCGGTTTTTCCTTTTATTTCGGATAAAATTTAAGTGGAATAGGAGCAAATAAACTTAGTGGTTAATGAAATATCTTTTAAAAAATCAAACTAAGTAGGTATGAAATTATAAAAGTTAACCCCTGAATAAATATTGTAATACTACGGTTACATTTTAGGTGAAGATACAGTATAAGGGTGTGGAATTTTGGAAACAATCTTGTCAAACAGACAAAATGCTAGAAAAATCTATTTAGTCTATCAACATTCCCTCCTCAGAATGCTGCATATTCATCAGTATAACTCCACTGGTAGCTTAGTTTTTCAAGATTTTATTTCTCTCCTAGTATGAACGACCTGGTTTTACATACCTGTAGTTTACTAACTTGTAGTTTGTTGAGCATATTTGTTTGTTGTTAACAAATCATTAAAACGTTTCTTCTCTCATAAAAATTCACTTTGCTAAAAAAAAGTGATAGCCTTACCCCTGTATGTTTTTTATATTGTTCAATTTTGAAACAGAAAAGGATCTTGATGGGAAAACTGAGGAGGAGCAGGAAATGATGAAAACAATGGGATTTTCAAACTTTGATACCACTAAGGCACGTTATAAAACCGATTTACTGTTTTGTTTTTCAAAATAAGGGACACTCTAGTATACTTTACACATTAATGAATATCCTGTCTTGAATCTGAAACTTTTTTATCAGGCTATTCATTTTTTTGTTATCACGTTGATCCAGTGAAGGATCTTTTGTCTGTGTGTACAACGATATATTTTTGTGTAATGTATTATTTCGTTAAACTGGAACAAAACAAATTAAATCGAGTAGTTTAATTTTTTGCACAATGTATTTTGGCTACTCTAATGATTCAACAGTAATTTTGATTGTTTTCTATACATTCAATAGTCTAATTAAATATTTTTCCTGTTTTTTTAGGGTAAACGTGTTTTAGGAAATGATGTCTATTCCATTATTTCAGTCCAGAAAGGGGAACACAGGTGATTTTAGGTATAAGAAATTTTCACCTTTTTTTCCAAACTACATAAACAATTCTATTAGCATAACAAGAAATTATACAAATAATTTCAGCCGGTATGGCAAATTTGGTCTTTTTCTGTCTCACAAAATATTCTAAACTATTAGAACTGTTGATTTACAAATATTTTGATTTATATGAAATATAAAATATTATCTAAGGTACGCAACAAAGAAAATATTTTACCTCAGTTGACTAAGAAATAAAGCTGTTGCCCCCACCTTGATGGTTCAGTGGTAAGCCAGAATGGCTTATATAACTTAAAACTGGGTTTCAATACTCAGGATAGGTACAGCACATTGTGGAGCTTGGTGCATAATAACAAACACAAAAGTAATCTGTTGTTATTGGATGTTAACCCTAACTTCTTATTCCCTAAACTAAACATTTATATTAAGACTTGTTTCTACATAATCGTGATGAAATATTTAGGTTTGATAATAAAGTGATTAAATTATTATATAAACAGGATTAGATTTTAATATAATTCAAAAAATATTAACTTGTACATTTTTGTTTGAACTGACGTTTCTCATTACTGCTTTATCTTTATAATATTTACAAGTTGAATTCATGAAACATAACAGCAGTTTCCACTAGAAAATATTAAATATATTTAACACATTTTTTTTTTCCCTTGAATTACTGTGGTTTTAACCCATTCACTGCAACCGAGATGTATATTTCCCAGTGTAGTGGGAAATATATGTCCCAGCCTCGGGTGAAACAGTTAACAGAAAATTACAATTATCTATACTAACAGCCTCAGCTTCTTACCTTTACACATCTGTTTCGTTTGAACTTTATGGTTTTATTACTTTACTTTGGACAGTCTTCATTACCGTGAAAAGCAATACATCTCTTAGTGGGAGATTATATATATATATATATATAACAGTAAAACATACAGATAAAAACAAAATTCACCTGTAGACCTACATGGACTTAAGTAAGACATTGTTTTTCATACTCTGTTTATGTACACAAAATAATTTATGTAGTTTTCAACACAAAAATATATCGGTCATCGAATAGGATGTCCCAAAACTACAATAATTTAACTGACTTTCTAACTAAGCTTTAAACAGGGTTAAAATGTCACATTGACTTCAGTATTGAACACGTTTTCTTGAAACTACTGTCTCTGGTCTCCAAAATATTATCAAAAGAACATAAGAGACAGTACATTGAAGTTTGTTTTTTCTGTTAGTTATAAACATGTATACTTAATACGAGTTAGAAACTACACTGAAGCTATGAACAGTTGTGTATAACCTGATTTATAGATTGGACAACTTTATTTCGGTAAACTGAGAAGGTACGATGTTATTTTCTGGCCTGTCAGTATCGATAGTTTGTCTTTCTAATTGGTCAGATACTCTTAAAGGGATGAGAACAATCTAAATAGGTGAAACCAGAGCACACCAGATGTGTCACATGATACAGAGTAGTGAAGATTGAGAATTTATAGTCTTTTGAAATTAAGAAATCAATACTTGTATAGTACTAGAATTTGAATTATAAACTACTTTTTGATGCCAAGTTTATTGATATATGTTGATAATAATGTTTTAAAATTAAATTTTTAATGTAATTTAATAAAAAGGTTGTGATGTGCACTTTGACCCGCCCATTAACAGTTCACAAATTGTTTAGTTAAGCTTTAGAGTTTTGAAATCTGTAAGCATTGATATCAAGTGATAAGATGTTGATGATAGTGTATCCCAACTTTTCTAATACATATAAATGTTTTACAGGAATGGAGAAGGAACCTGTAGCTGTACTTCAGTTCAACATAAATGTTATGATTTAGTACTTCTCATTTGAATAAAGTGTTTTTCATATTAAATGTATCTGTATACATTCATGTTGTTTGTGTATAAGAGATAAACTATACTCACTACAGCCATTAACATGAATAGTGCAAGACTAGCGTTAAATCATACAATGGCCATTAACATGGAATAGTGCAAGACTAGCGTTAAATCATACAATGGCCATTAACATGAATAGTGCAAGACTAGTGTTAAATCATACTAAGGCCATTAACATGAATAGTGCAAGACTAGCATTAAATCATACAATGGCCATTAACATGAATAGTGCAAGACTAGCGTTAAATCATACAATGGCCATTAACATGAATAGTGCAAGACAGTGTTAAATCATACAATGGCCATTAACATGAGTAGTGCAAGACCAGTGTTAAATCATACAATGGCCATTAACATGAATAGTGCAAGACCAGTGTTAAATCATACAATAGCCATTAACATGAATAGTGCAAGACTAGCGTTAAATCATACAATGGCCATTAACATGAATAGTGCAAGACTAGTGTTAAATCATACAACGGCCATTAACTTACTTGAACAATGTTAGACTTCTGTCCATGCGTTGCATAACTTGAATAACTCTAACATCAGGCAGCAGTCAAGCGAAAGTCTTAGTACCTTTAACTAAAGTTTTGATAAAGTATTTGAAAGTGAAAATGGAATTGTGAAGTTTACATTAATATGCACATTTTTTATATTTTATTTGCACCGTATACAATGTAAGCTTTATGGGTAGATATAACGGTGAATTGTAAGTTTAAAATATTTTAGTCTTTTCAATTTTTTGATTGCATTATAATTGTATCAGTTTGTGTGCATAGGACAGTAAACTGCAGGTTTATAAAACGTATAAACATTTTGAAAACTTTAAAGATCGTTCTGAGTCACTCAATAATAAACTCAACGGTACAGTGATGACGTAAGTGAAAATACAGTGTAACATAAAATAAGTTCAACAATTTGAAGGTTATAGTTTACTAAGTGTAATAAATACTATGAGTTCCACTTCTACAAATGAAGCCAAGACTGTCAGTTCAATTTTACTGTTCTATGATTACTGATGTTGGTTTTTAACTGTGTACATGTACGACCGCTAAAATCATGCTCTTGCTCATACAGCTTTGACTACTACAAGTTTATGTAAGGTCAGATAAGAATATTTACGAACTGCCGAGATTCAGGGATTTGATGATGGACATCTAAGTTTTCTTTTACACCCATTTCATCAAGCTCATCTTGAATTTCCCTTAATCAAAATATTTATTAGTATCACTGAATATATATATATATATGTATATACTACCAATCCATACTGCTAATATATTTCCAACTGTAATTTTACGGAGAGACAGGAACACCTTGTTTATATTGAGATGTTGGACTGAATCTTGTCAAAACTGTGTACCACAATGTTATTCCTGATAGTAAGTGTACTCTTTCACTTTCTGACTTTCTAAACTTCATTCAGTGTTTGTTGGCAGACTTAACCAAACATCAGTACTGGGGACATGGTTGGACAAGTATTTCTTAACTGGTATACATTGACTTAGTAATGCGGGCTGAGCATGGGAATGTTAGCACCGTGCTTCTATTGATTTGGACTTATTTTTAACCGTTCATGTTAACCTAGTCGTCTTGGGCATGTTTATAACAGTTCATGTTGACCTAGACGTCTTGGGCTTGTTTATAACTGTTCCAGTATTATCTCTGGTATTGTAGGGTTAAAAAAATGGAGATTAATAACATTATATTACACGTTGTGAGGAAGAAAACAGGGTCAGTTTCTGATAATGGCGACTAATAACCGAACCACTTAGCGGATTATAGATTATTTAAAACCTGATACTCAAACATAACTAATATAAATATTTTAATGGATATCAACCTGTGTTGATGTATAGTTTCGTCCTATTTAAATATTTTAATGGATATCAACCTGTGTTGAATGTATAGTTTCATTCTATTTTAATGGATATCAACCTGTGTTGAATGTATAGTTTCATCCTATTTAAATATTTTAATGGATATCAACCTGTGTTGAATGTATAGTTTCGTCCTATTTAAATATTTTAATGGATATCAACCTGTGTTGAATGTATAGTTTCATTCTATTTTAATGGATATCAACCTGTGTTGAATGTATAGTTTCATCCTATTTAAATATTTTAATGGATATCAACCTGTGTTGAATGTACAGTTTCGTCCTATTTAAATATTTTAATGGATATCAACCTGTGTTGAATGGGTAGTTTCATCCTATTTAAATATTTTAATGGAT